GGAGTATCTTGCATTTGTCACTGTTGAACATCATTTTGTTCGTTTTGGCCCATCTCTCCAATCTGTCAAGATTGTTTTGAATCCTGCTCCTGTCCTCTGGAGTATTGGCTCCCCCTCCCAATTTGGTGTCGTCTGCAAACTTGATGATCCTGCCTTCTAGCCCTTCATCTAAGTCATTAATAAAGATGTTGAACAGGACCGGCCAGGACGGAACCCTGCGGCACTCCACTTGTCACTTCTTTCCAGGATGAAGAGGAAGCATTGGTGAGAATCACCCTCTGGGTTCGTCCATTTAACCAATTACAGATCCACCTCACCGTAGTTTTGCCTAGCCCACATTGGACTAGTTTGTTTGCCAGAAGGTCATGGGGGACCTTGTCGAAGGCCTTACTGAAGTCCAGGTACGCTACATCCACGGCATTCCCCGCATCTACCCAGCTTGTAACTCTATCGAAAAAAGAGATCAGATTAGTCTGACATGACTTGTTTTTGATAAATCCATGTTGACTATTAGCGATGACTGCATTTGTTTCTAAGTGCTTGCAGACCACTTCCTTAACAATCTTTTCCAGAATCTTGCCTGGTATCGACGTGAGGCTGACTGGATGGTAATTGTTTGGGTCATCCTTTTTTCCCTTCTTGAAGATTGGGACCACATTGGCCCTCCTCCAATCTGCTGGAACTTCTCCCGTTCTCCAAGAACTCTCAAAGATGATTGCCAATGGTTCCAAAATGACCTCCGCTAGTTCCTTCAAATACTCTTGGGTGTATTTGATCTGGTCCTTATGTTTTGTTTATTCTACATTTCCTTTGGGAACTCGGGTGGTGGCCATAATCTTCCATTTATTCTGACAATATTATTTATTTATTTATTATTATTATTAACTTTATTTGTACCCCGCTAGCATCTCCCGAAGGACTCGATGCGGCTTACAAAGGCCAAGGCCTCAAAACACAACATAACAATACAACACCTAAAGCAAATTAAAAACAGTTAAAGCAATATTAAACAACAAGCAATAAACAATACATCAAGACACTATAAAACTGGGCCGGGCCAGAGTAATGGGTACAGGATTAAAAGTGCTGATGTGACAGGTGATATGTAAGGATTATAGGGTAAGTGCAGTGTGCTGTGTGCAGCAATCTTAGTTCTAATAAAGTGCTTCTGGGACTTGTTATTGGAGATTCCTATTCTGGAAAGGCACATCGGAACAGCCAGGTCTTGTATAGTAGATGATACTGAGACTTGTCTAAAGCCGCAAGTAAATCAGACGTCTGAGTGACAATGTGACCCATTCTGATTATTTTCCTAATATGCTAGTATACCTGTTCTACAATTACTCTCAGCTAAGAGGCCCATTTCACAACTTTTGGCAGGGAAATTAGTGGCAGAGAAATAGGATTTGAGATTTCTGCTTAACTGTTTAATTCAGATTAAGAATTAACATTAATGTTTATATTTGCATATTATTATCTTTCCATTTTCCATGCTGTCATATCTGAGGTTTTGTTTTTGTTTTTTGTTTTTTTTACATCTTTTCCTATTTAGGAATGTATTATATGCAACCCAGCTTGTGTTCTCACTATGTATCTTTCTGCTTTTTGTGTCATCAAATGACATCCATTCCAGGGGTGGCCTGTGCTCCGGAGGATGTAAAAAACTACCTGCAGGAATGCACCATTTGTGCTGAGGTCAAACACAAGGTGGGGAAATCTACAGGATTGTAACAACTGGTGGCAGAGCCCAACCAACCCTGGAAGCAGATTACCGTGGCTTTTATTGTGGATGGACCAGAGAGTAAAGGATATGACACTATTTGGACAGTGATTGATTTGTTTTCCAAGCAGGCCCATTTTGTCCCCCTTAAACGTTTGCCTATCATTTTGCTGGATTGGCTCGACTGTTTTATGACATGTGTTCAGACTGCATGGGTGCCCAGAGCGCATATATTGAATAGGGGCCCTCAATTTACAGCTAAAATACTGGAACTTCTGGAAATGTCTTATACTAAAACTGGAATTATCCAAACAAATGACAATTTCTGCAACTTACATAATTAAAAATAGTATCCCCGAATAAATGCATAAAGACTACTTGTAAAGTAGGCATTTCAAATAAAAAGGTACAAAAGTTCCGCCGATAGCTCTATCCAAAGGGCAACATAGATTCTGCATGGTCTACTGGTTCTTGTGCTATAAGATGTGTAGAAGGAAGCCATTTTTAAATCACAATATTTTTCTCTTGCACTACTAAATGTAGCTAAACAGGTGTTAAATTCTATTATTTTTATTTATTTATTTGTTTATTTATTATTCGAACTTATATGTCGTCACTCCCCTGGGGCTTGGAGCAGCTTACAAAAACAGGCTAAAATTGAACACAATTTAAAAACAATTTAAAACAATTTAAAAACAGCAATATCAAAGATCAAAGGCCTGTCGAAACAGATATGTCTTATAAAATACTATAATATTCAAAACATAGATCACAGCGTATTATCCACTATTTTGTCTGTATTTTGCTTCTACTCCATTCTAATCTAGATATTGGGAGAACAATTGAATATCTATTAATCATTTTATTAATTGGTTTTTCATACCACTGAATGCCCAAATGCACAGACAGGAAGATTTGGTTTCCGTCTTCATTCCTACTCTTCACTTGCCTTTCTTATCTTAGACGTTCTTCAAACATATCTTAGACACATATAATAAGGGTCCTTTTGCAATGGAATGGCCCAGTGGCCATCGAGTTCTATAAATAACTCCCCTAATCCAGTTACATGTGGGGGGTTTTCCTTATAAAACTCATATATCTACAATATATAACTGCATAATAACATGATCTCTTCTTGCATACTTATGAAGTCTTTTGTTCTCTGGAAACTCGAGTATCTTTGCTTTTATCTAATTTTTAATCTAATAGAAAAACTGTTTTAAATTTGTTTTAATTTTTTACTGTTTATAGTTTAATTTGCCTATTTTGTTTTATGTTGTTTGTTTTTGTTATTAATTTTTTATTTATTTTTATATATTTTTATATATTATATATTTATTTACTCATGTTGTGAGCTATCCCAAGTCCTCTTGGGGAGATGGTATGGGATAGAAATAAAGATTTTTTTCTATTATTATTATTATTATTATTAGAAAGCTAAAAGAGCAATACACAAATGCAGTAAATTTTGATACATAAACTCATCAAGCATATTTTGTAAGGAAAGGAACATGCAAGGAGATGGGCTTAGAATTATTGAAACAGATGTTTAAGGATGGATATATTGAATCAACTTCAATTTTTATTTTCACTATTTTTTAGGGACAGATGAGACCGTATAAAAATGAAGAGGTATGAGCACACAACGGCTTCTGGTCATTTTGTCTCCAAAATTGTGCTTGAAATGTGACACCATCATTGATTCATAGCAATATGGAAATTCTGCTATCTTTTCAAGGCATTGTTCTCTCTACCCTAACATCCTTGCTGTTGGTATCTTTCAACACCAATAGGGCATACTTCTTCCTAAATCAAATCTGTTTGTTGCCACACTTCCCTTGATTTCATCCCATGCCTTTTATTAATTATCCATCAACATCTTAACCAAGTCCTGCACTGCCTCCAACGGAAAGCAACAGCAAATAATAAACAAAAAGAACACTACTACTGGGAGGTTTTTTAAATATGGGGCTAGAGAGTAGAAGGGTACAATCCTTCTCAGTTCTGTTAGATATCGTCATTCTGTCAAAATGATGCCATCACTGGACAATATCTGAAGTGTCCATATAACTAGAGATTCTGAAACTGGAAAACATTGAGACATCTCAGCTAGGATCTTCCTCGTTCAATTCCAATTCCTTTCCCAAATCTTATTGGGATAAAGTTAACCAGCACTCCCAAAGGTAGAAATGGAGATATCTAGTCTCATGCTATCAAAAACTGATGCAAAAATCGCCAACTTTTTAGTTATAAGAGCAAAAAACCTAGAAAATGATGTTTGCATAGCTGTATTTTCCACTATATTGATTCTTGATGAAGTCAAAGACCAAATTTATGAATCTATCATTGTATACAAAATGGAGACATATCAATCTGCAGTAATTCATAATGACATTTCTAGAACTTTGTGCTCCAATCCTACTTTTCTGGGCTTCTTTCCCCATACACTGCAACTACTTGTGTTGTAAAAGACGTTTGATTATTCAAATTCATTTACACTTCAATAAAACTGCCTTTTTATAATTTGAGCTATTTCCATGATGATATAATTTAGACTACCATATATAGTCCATGTATAAGTGGAGGGCAAATTTGGGGGCCAACATTATTAATTGTGTTAAGATGCATAGATAAGTTGAGGGCCATTTCAAAGGAGAAAATGCCAATGCACCTCAGGGTCAGTTGGCCTTGGCCACCAGGCATTCAAGAAAGTCAGAAGTGAAACCATGACAGAGAAGAAAAAAGGGTCAGTGTTTATTTTAGGTTCCCATAGAATGGACTAAGCGCTCTCCTTTCAGCACTCTATTTAGAGAAGAGAATCATTCCTTTTTGACCTCATTTTTGGGTCAAATTCTGACTAAAATGACTGGACTTATACATTAGTATGTACAGCCCACATTCTTTCTTAATCTTTGAGGAGAATGAAAGGAAGGTCTGTGGTTTTCCAAGTTCGCTTAGCTCAAACAATATCTAAATGACTTGCCAGAAGACCTCCAACAGTTAAATTTTAAAATATCTGAAAACCTATCTCTTCCGGCAGGCCTAGTTAGCCAGTTTTAATGATGAATTTTAAACTCTTGTCTTGTGTTCTAACCTTTGTTCTGTGTCTTTCAATACATATTTTGTAGAAATATGTTTTAATATGTGCATTTTATATTATGATTATGTGTTTTTACCTATTTTGTAACCCGCCTTGAGCCATGAGGAGAGGTGGGTAAGAAATATCATCATCATCATCATCATCATTATTAAACCATATCTCCATGCTTCAGTCACTCACTCTAAACGTTCTTCTTCCTTTTTGCGCAGATTGATGTCCCGTTGAATCACTTCCCAAACATGTTTGGCCTCTTCATCGGTCAATTTGGAAAGATCTAGTTTCCTTCCCATTTTTAGAAAGATGAATACCTGAAAGTCAAGAAGAGAAATAAGGCAATTGGTGTGAAACAATTCTTAATTGAAAGTAGTCATCCATTTGGCAGTACTATATTTATCTTTGCCCGGAAGGTTTTTCAGTATTTGAATATATCCTGTAGAAGAACTGAGTAAAAAAATGGGTTTGCAAACAGTAACAAAAATTAAATATTTAGGCATATGGTTACCCCCCCCCCCCCCCCAAAATAGTCAACTTTTAACTAATGACCACTAATTTGACCTAGGGATTGTGGAAGAACATTAGTAATTCCAAATCGGTCTCCCGACATGGTAAATTGGTGTACTCAGGATGGCGGTCCCTCCGGACTGAAGGTGGTGCTGCTGAACGCCAGATCTCTCAATGGAAAAACAGCTGTCATCCAGGATTTAATCTGGAGTAATTCATAATTCATTACAGAGACCTGGTTGGGTGAAGCTGGAGATGTAAATTTGACCCAGCTCTGCCCACCAGGCTTCTCCGTACAGCACCAACCAAGATCCGGAGGGCGGGGAGGCAGGGTTGCAGTGGTCTATATGGATTCCATCTCCCTGACCAGGAGCCCCATCCCACAGTCAACCAATTTTGAATGTGTCCACCTGAGGGTGGGTGACTGGGACAGAATAGGGATTCTGTTGGTGTACCGTCCACCCCGCTGCACTACAGTCTCCCTACCTGAGCTAGCGGGGGTGGACTCGAGCCTGGCATTGGAGTCCCAACGGCTTCTTGTGCTGGGGGACTTCAATGTCCATGCCGAGGCCACTCTATCAGGAGCGGCTCAGGACTTCATGTCTGCCATGGCAACCATGGGGCTGTCCCAATGGGTATCTGGCCCCACTCACAGTGCAGGACACACAATGGATTTGGTTTTCTGCCAGGAATGGGAGGAAGGTGGCGGTGTTGAGGAGTTGACCATCTTTCCGTTGCCATGGATCGACCACTACCTGGTCAGATTTATTTATTTAATATTTATTTACTTTACTTGTATACCACTCTTCTCAGCCATCAGGCGACTCACAGCGGTTAGACTTACGGCAACCCCTAACCTTCGCAGGGGTGGAGGACCCATTAAGTTGGTCCACCCCAGGAGACTTATGGATCCGGATGGATTCCTGATGGCTCTTGGAGAGTTTCCCACCACCTCGGTGATCCTGTTGATGCCCTAGTCACTCTCTGGAATGGGGAGATGACTAGGGCAATAGACACGATTGCTCCAGAACATCCCCTCTCAAGTAGCCGAGCTAAACCAGCTCCTTGGTTCAACGAGGAGCTGGCAGCGATGAAGCGAAGGAAGAGGGAACTAGAGAGCGTATGGTGTTCGGATCCAAGCGAGCCAAATTGAACACAGTTTGTGGCCTTTTTAAAGACATATGCCATGGCAATAAAGGCCGCAAAGAAATCTTTCTTTGCGTCCAATATTGCATCTGCAAAGAACCGTCCGGCTGAGCTGTTTCGAGTTGTCAGAGGCCTTTTAAATCCCACCACCCAGGATGGGAGCCCTGACAACTCGGCAGCCCGCTGTGAAGCTTTTGCTCAGTTCTTTGCAGACAAAGTCGCTTTGATCCATTCTGGTCTGGACACCACGTTAACAGCAGTCTCTGAGGATGTAGCTGGAGCACCTGCTTGTCCAGTTTTGATTGATTCATTTCAATTGGTGAAACCCGAGGATGTGGACAAGATACTTGGAGGAATGAGGCCTACCACATGCATCCTAGACCCCTGCCCATCCTGGCTTTTAAAGGAAGCCAGAGGGGGATTGGCCGAGTGAGTAAAGGTGGTGGTTAATGCCTCCCTTCGGGAAGGCAATATTCCAGCGAACTTAAAACAAGCTATAATAAAACCGCTGTTGAAAAAATTATCACTGGAACCCACTCAATTTGACAACTATCGGCCTGTTTCCAATCTCCTCTTTCTGGGCAAAGTCCTGGAACGTGTGGTGGCTTCACAACTCCAGGTATTCTTGGAAGACACAGATTATCTGGATCTGGCACAGTCTGGCTTTAGGCCGGGTTATGGAACTGAGACAGCCTTGGTCGCCTTAGTGGATGATCTATGCCGGGAGCTGGACAGGGGGAGTGTGTCCCTGTTAATTCTGCTGAACCTCTCAGCGGCCTTCTATACCATCAACCACAGTATCCTTCTGGGATGCCTCATGGGAATGGGCCTTGGAGGTACTGTTCTGCAGTGGCTCTGGTCCTTCCTAGAGAGTCGATCTCAGAAGGTGCTATTGGGAGTCACCTCTTCAACCCCACAACCTTTGTCTTGTGGAGTTCCTCAGGGTTCAATACTGTCTCCTACGTTGTTTAACATCTACGTGAAGCCGTTGGGGGAGATTATCCGGAGTTTCGGGGTGCGGTGTCATCTTTATGCAGATGATGTCCAACTCTGTCACTTCTTTCTACCTGCTATAAGGAGGCTGTGATGGTCTGGATGAGGGCGAACAAATTGAAATTGAATCCAGACAAGACAGAGGTACTCCTGGTCAGTCGCAAGGCCGAACAGGGTATAGGGTTACAGCCTGTGTTGGATGGGGTCACACTCCCCTGAAGACGCAGGTTCGCAGCTTGGGTGTGATCTTGGATTCATCGTTGAGCCTGGAACCCCAGGTCTCAGCGGTGACCAGGGGAGCATTTGCACAGTTAAAACTTGTGCGCCAGCTGCGCCCGTACCTTGGGAAGTCTGACTTGGCCACGGTAGTCCACGCTCTGGTTACATCCCGTATAGACTACTGCAATGCTCTCTACGTGGGGTTGCCTTTGAAGACTGTCCGGAAGCTTCAAATGGTCCAACGGCAGCCAGGTTGTTAACAGGAGCGGCACTCAGGGAGCATACAACTCCTCTGTTGTGCCAGCTCCACTGGCTGCCAGTTTGCTACCGGGCACAATTCAAAGTGCTGGCCTTAGCCTATAAAGCCCTAAACAGTTCTGGCACAACTTACCTGTCCGAACGTATCTCCTCCTATGAACCAGCTAGGACGTTAAGATTGTCTGGGGAGGCCCTGCTCTCGGTCCCGCCTGCATCACAAGTATGGTTGGCGGGGATGAGAGACAGGGCCTTCTCTGTTGTGGTTCCTCGGCTGTGGAATCCCTTCCCACAGAAATTAGATCAGCATTTGAATAGGCAGTGTAACTAATATAGAAATATGGAACATTTGGATGATGGGACTGGATCTTGATTTTAACTATGAGACGAGGTGAGATGTTATGATGTTTATTGATTGTTATAATGATATTCTTTTAACTTGTTTTTAACTGGATTTAAAACTATACCATGACTCATGTGCCTTAGGCTGGATTAAGGATTGGATAAATCTAAAAAGGGAAAAATTGTTATCCTTAGAGGGACATGACTTACATGTGGGATGGCACTCGTATGTTTGGTATAAGAGAGAGAGAAAAGAGAAAAATTTCAGCAATCACTTTATAAGATTTTCATTACTAAGGACTTGGCTAAAATATAAAAAATATTTTTATTCGAGTACCCTACTATGGTTATCAACTATGGAAGCAAATCAAAGAAGACTATTAGGTTAGTCCAAATGGCCAACCTATCCTATAAGGATTTACTGATAAAAGGCTCAATAATTCTGAAATCGCATGAAGAAATTAAACAGAATTTCTTGGCTGCACTATTTACAAATTAAAGAGCTCAATAACAAAGATAAAACAACGAGATTTAATTTGAGTGAGCAATTCTGGGATAAAATCTTAGAAAATGATAAAAAGATTATTACCAAAATTTACAATAGATTGCAAGATTGGTCAATGGAAGGGGAAACAGCGAAAGCCTGCATGATTAAATGGGCTGGAAATTTAAGAAGAACAATAACACTTAAAGAATGGGAATCAATCTGGAACAAAAAATTAAAATATACATATGCCATGGATCTGAAAGAGAATTGGCTCAAGATGTTCCACTGTTGGTACATCACACCAAGGAAACTAATCCTAATGTACAAGAACACACAAAAACATTGCTGGAAATGCAAGGATCAAGAGGGTAGTTTCTTCCATATGTGGTGGACTTGCAAAGAAGCAAAACGTTTTGGGAAAAAAATACATGCAGCAAACCAACATATTTTCAAGATTAAATTCCGCATGAAGCCAGAATTTTACCTATTAAGTATAACCAATTCGAATTTACCATTAGATCTTAATGATGATATCTTGTTTATTTATCTGACCACTGCTGCCAGAATCTGCTATGCAAGATACTGGAAGCAAAAAGAGATACCAGATATAGACGAATGGATCCAGAAAGTGAGAGAGATCAAAGACATGGACAGACTAACTTTCTTACTAAGGAAAAATTTGGGCAATCTTATTAAATATACTGATTGGTCCAAGATAGAGGAATATGAAAAAATGAGAATCATATAGTCATAACAAAAGACATTAGTATGTATTGGAGATATAAGAAGAGCTGATTTACTTTATTGCTCTATTATGAAATTGTACCCTCAATAGAAAACTTATTAGATAAAGATAAAGGTAAAACAGCAAAGGACTAGATGGAAGTCAACAGACTTTTTTTGTATTTTTTTATTCCTTCATTTTTGGATACAAGATTTTTTCTCTCTCTCTCCTTTTTTCTTTTTTTCCCTTCTTTTTTATCTTTCATTCTATTTTCTTATTTGCTATATGTTTCCTACTTTCCTATTACTTTATTGTTCTCCCACTTTACTTGTATAAGAAAAAAATATTCTTCCCCTCTTTTTGTCTGGAGTCCCTTGCCCCCGATTTCCTTTCTTCACCTTTATTTATTTTATTTATTTATTTAGAGCTTTTAAAACCCGGTCTTCTCGACCTCCGAAGAGGGACTCAGGCTGGCTAACAGCAGGAAATTCATACACAAGTAGGATAAACATAATAGCATCGTAATACATTAATACATAAAATACATTAAAATACAGATCATACAATTACAAAAAGCCAGGTCGTCAAAGTAAAATCACAAATTCATCACCATCTGCCGGTGTGGTCAGCAGTTATTAATA